CCCCAAAACCCCAAAACCCCAAAACCCCAAAACCCCTTAAGGCTGAATTGAGATTGAATAAATTTTATTGTTATCAAGATACCCATTGGATGATGAATAAAAACTGCTGAATAAACATATTTTGCAAAAACTTACTGCATAAAATGGTAATGCCACTACAGACTACAGTTAATCTCAAAAATTGCAAATGACGCTTTTATATTGTGTTTTTGAAGTTAGATAGAGAGGGGAAACATACAACCAAATACAAAAACTAGAGATAACAGTTCCAGCCTCTTTATAATTTCGGCATTTTTGAAAGCATTAAATATAGTGCAGAAAATATAAAACTATGGACATCAATTTAACTTTGGGTTTCAAAACATTTAGCAGTTAATGAAATTGCCTTCTTATCCAGGATCTAATCTGAAGTGCTTTGAAGAAAGTAAAAAGACACAGATACTCATGCTTAAGATACTTTTATTAAAGGCGCTACACTTTCTCTCAATATAGATTAATCAGATGATTCAGATAATTTCTAAAAGACAAAGACACTTCGGGTAAGCAATCAGGCAATCCATTTGTGCTAAATGGAAAATTAAATTTGTACTGGATAATATTAAAACTCTAAAGAATTAATAATAGCAGGTGTCCGAATTAAGCTAATTTTATGAACATATAAATTCCAGGAGATATTCCCTCACAGGCTGATTGTGCACATCTAATGCGACTCATAATGCAATATTCCTAAAGCGTGATAGAACTATAAAAACCTGAAATCTTTGTTTTCAGGTTTAGATTTGGCTACAATTCTACTGACTCTACGAGGCTCCAAAGACTCAGTAGAAAGCCCTCTGTTTTAATGTTTGGGATTACTGAATGTCCGTAACATTCTAGCCATTCTCTTTGGTAACACTATGAGAGCTGGTTTTACTAATTTTAAGTGTAACTATTAGTGTAACTATTAGTTTATCAATGAGTTTCAGTGTATTTATCAGCAAGCCAATTTCTGACACTCCTCTGGATTAGAATGATGGCATTTTCTTGGTTAAAATTATTCTTGGAGTTCTTCTTCAATAACTTTTGGTTAAGTTCTTTATGAATCATATCGGATGCATAGTTAATATCTTTCTCTTGTCTCTTTAAAATCCATTTTTTGACTATTTTCTGAAGTTTGCAGAGCTTTTTAAAATCGTTAATGCAATATTTTAGGTTTTGCAGTCTTTTCTTTCTTTTATTAATCTTTTTAAACTTGTTCATGATATCTCCTTCTTCTACCAATGAGTCTATTTGCTTTGAGTTTGAGCTAGAACACTTCTTAATTTTCCCCTTTTCATTGAACTTTGAATTTAGATTAGTTTCCAAGTATTTATTTTTGAGATTCGGAGAATTAATTTCTCCATTTCTTCTATCCTTTTCTTCATTATTTGCTCTCATTTCATCTGTGATGATTTCGATTTTATAACCTTCAGAGTTCTTGACAAAATATTCATCAACGCTTTCTTCACTGAATTTATCATCTTCATCTAAGCTATTGAGTTCTTTGCCATAGCCTACAGGGTGAGGAGCCTCTTCTGTTTTATTGGATCTAGTAGTTAGGAGTTTCTTTATTCTTCCTTTAGCTTGCACTTGACTGCTCTCTCCTTGTATGTTTCCAATGTTCTTCCTTGAGTAAGATTGTTTGATGTCCATATCGTCAGCATCACTGGACTCATCGGTCCTGAGTGCTTTACTTAAAGTCATATTCCGAAGCAGAGTCTCTAAGATTTCAGGATTTTTATGCTTTATCGCACATTCTAGAGGACAGATAGACTCTTTCTCTTCCTCTTCTTGATCGAAAGAACTGTCACTCTTATCATCATTGTTGACATTCTTTCCAGGGTTGTTTGAATCAAGCCTGATTTCCTTTTCTTTTTCTGGGTATGGAACAGACACGTATTTCATAAGCTCAATTAGACATTTATTGTATCCCTTGTGCGAACAAATTGTAATAGGAATCATATTTTGTTTTCCGGATGAAGAGAAATCTGTGGGTATGTTTAAATTTGCACCCATTTTGTATAAATCAGAGATGACTTCATGATAATCAAGACAGACTATATAATGGATCAGAGCCATTCCTTGGCTATCTCTCCTATCCAGCCGTTCTATAATTCTTGAATAAAAATTCTTACCTTTGGATCTCTGCTCTCCAAAGACTTGCTTCATCTTTGCTAGAATAAGTTTGATGACTCTGATAAAATAAATTTTATTAATCTTCTCCAGGATATTATCATCTAGGTACTTCAATTGGTCGAAATTAATGTTTTGGGCTTCTTTATTCTCAACTTCAGAATTTTCTCTCCCATTATTCTGAGACAAGTCTCTTTCTAGTCCTGTAAGTGTCTCAATAAGTCTCACTTTGAATTCTCGAGTTTGACTATCAATATATGATCCTGGATTTTCTTTCACCCTCACATAAGCTTTTCTCCGAGAATTTTGGTTTTCTCGATACTGAAATAAATTGGAGTCCTTCTTGGCTGACACTCATACTTCCTTGCCATCATAAAACAATTTAAGATTGACATATCCAGGAGGGTTGGCTGGAGCATGACACTTGAACACCCCACTTTGGATGAACTTGATTGGAACTTCTGACTCTCCAAAAGAAATACTAAACCTGCTTTCAATTTCATCATAAACATCAATCCCAGTAAGAGGATCAATGAGATCTTTCAGATCAGGTTTGAATCAGACAAGGAGCTTAGCTCCTCCGCTGACATAGTCCCACTCAGGGGAAAAATCAAGAATTTTGATTTTCTTGGAAATAATAGATTCTACACTAAAAGGATCTCTCTCCTTAATCCTTCTGCCATCAAAAGACATTTCGCAATCATTCAAATTGTTTGAAAACATGAAAGCATCTGCATTGTGGTTTGTCAAGTTAGTAGACCCAGAGTTGATGTTAGTGTTCACTTTCTTTTCTAGATGCTCTATCTTTTCATAGAGCTCCTTTATCTCTTCATTCTGGGTTTTCTGATTCATTTCTAAAGAATTATAGTAAAAATGTACCTTCAGAATGATGAATCGAGCTATACTGAAGAAAACTATTGGATCTTTCCCTTTTAGTCTCTTCTTTATCTAAACCTTAATTTATAAAGCTACCTTTTTGAGTAACCTCTTCATCTTCTTTCTTATCGGGGAAACATGGATCCATTTCAATTTTATTTCGAGTAAATTGACCTGGATCGATTTCTATGTCACTAAATAGAGATTTAAACTCTCAGTCCTCAGAGTTCATAACATCTTCCTTGACAATCTGTTGTTCAACAGGATTAAAATCAAGTCCCTCACATTTGTATGAAAGATCAAGTTTTGGAGGACCAATCTCAGATTTTATCGAAGAGTTTTCATGTACAATACCCTCGTCTAGATAATGGATTATAATAACTTTTTGATCACCGAGAATCCAATAAGCTCTTCTCTTCATTGTTTGAGGAGTCTTCTCGGACCCTGCAAGACCAGTGGTATAACTTCATTTTATTTTTAGCTTTTCAGAAGCATGAGTCCCTGAATCAGCCGCTAAATTTTTCCCTTCCGATTGACTGCTGTTGGAACTAGATGCATGGGATATCTTCGTAGTAGAGTGCTTTGAAAAGAGGGCGAGACCTATTAAATCCTGCTTATTAACCTTCAAATCTGTTTGATCCTCTCTAACATAATTAGTATTATTCCTCTTCTTCCAATCATGACCATCTTTCTTCCACCTGTTCTTACCTACCACCTTGTTCCATAGAATAAAAGTGCCGCTCTTAGGGGAAGTCTGAGGTCATGTCTGGTAGGGAATTCCCAAGTTGACCAAGAACTCAGGATTAGTGAGAATGGAATATATTTCATAAGTTTTTAACCATCTTGTCTTGACGATAGACAAGAATTTGGTCCTTAAATCGTCACTACTTTCCATTTATAATATTTTTATTAAATTCACTCATTTAATAATTTGAAGGGGTTTTGGGGTTTTGGGGTTTTGGGGTTTTGGGG